TTTTTTTTTTTTTTTTTTTTAAGAATCAACCACTTAACAAGAAGGTATTTTTCACAAACGAAAAGAGTCTTTTGCTTTATCTTCCTCTTCAAATAATATTTTTCACAAGCTCAATGAGCTGGACAAAACCATACAACATCGGGGCTTCCTCCATCACAGAACCTAAATCTAAAGTCCCACTTAAGTTCCATTGCATAAATTCAAGAAAATGTTTCAGAGTTTAGGTTTTAAATTTTACATAAAAAAAATAAAACAAAAAAAAGACTGCATTTAATGTTGTAATTCTAAATTATTAATGGGGACAAAATATTCATGAAAAAAGTGCATTTAGTGATGTCCTTAGTTTCTCATGGGAAGAAAAAATGAAATCCAAGGGGGGCAGAGGGTTTCATTTTCCCCCTATTTTCTCATGTGCCATGCAACCATTTCACATGTCTGGACTTACCAAACATGGGAAATCATTATCAAGCCACATTTTTCATGAACCAAATGCAACATAAGTGTATGCTTGTTGGAATCTTGAGTGAAGCTCAACCTATTTTATCATTTCATGACAAGAGCAAAGGAATGAAGTTAGTATCCCTGAGTTGTCTTATGGACTTGAGCCAAGAGACTACGGACCCAGGATTTCAAAATAGGGTGGGCTAGATTTACCTTATTGAACTGTTAGATTTTAAACTTGTTTAAACCCTTAAGGGAGGCTTACGGAATTGATCATATATATAAAAAAAAATCATTTAAGAACATATTATTTTTATTTTATTTGTTTAAAAGGCCTATTTTACACCAACAATGCCAGCTAAGGTCTACCATGATGAACAAAAATGAATTAAGAGAAAAGAAAATTCAAAAATGAAAATTTATCATCACAAAAATAGTTTAATTGATATTTATGCTCTAAATGGGCTTAACATTAACACTAACTATAAGAAAGAAAGAAAAAACTCACCTGGGCTATAGCCCAGGTTGTACAAGTCATAGTTCCGTTCCAGTTTGTTGGGGTGTAAATCTGAGGTGGTTTGGTATTCTACTTGTGGTTGGGAGACTACAAGTCAACGCAAAGACATTTTGAGTTTGTAAATTACAATTTATAAAGTTTGTTATTGCTTGGTGTGATCTCCCTCTTTAATACTTGTTTACTTGCTATTTGGTTGCCAACCTACTTAATCCACCACACATGTCATACTCCAAGTTTTTGGGTGTAAAACACCCTCCCCCTTAACTTCGGTTTTAAAAAATAAATAAATAAATCTTTATCATTTAATAATACAAGTGAGGGAACAATAATTGAGAAAATTTAAATAAACCAATAGGTTTCTTCTTTTAATTTATAAACCAGTAGATTTATATGTAAAAATATTAACTAAATAAAAAGAAACCTCTAGAGTCACGAAGTCTGTGTTGACTTAATTAAGTAATATAACTCTCAACTTTATTCATGTATAGTCATAGGTTTGGGCTCGTTTGGGAATGATTCTGTCCAGAATCACTTATGGGGAGAAGCACTTCCCACATGCTTCTCCATATAATCACTTTTAGTGATTTTAAGTGATTATATGGAGAAGCACCTCTCATGTGCTTCTCCATAAAATCACTTAAAGTGATTATTGGGAAAAGTGATTCTACATCAAAGTGATTATTTGAAGCATCTTATACTTGATTTATTCTCAAGTTTCAAGGACTCCGACTTCAAATGTGATACTTGTATTTTGGACAAAAGTCACTGTGTGCCATATCCATTAAGTACGAGTAAGTGTACTACTTTGTTACATTAATTCACTCTGATGTATGGGGACCTTCACCTATCACTGCTCCTTCTAGCGTTCGGTGGTTTGTCACATTTGTAGATGATTGTACACGGATGACCTGGGTTTATTTACTGAAGAATAAAAACGAAGTGTTTTCTCATTTTCAGTTCTTCCACAAACAAATGAAAACTCAATTCAGGGCTCAAATACATAATCTTTGCTTAGACAATGGTGGAGAATTTGTCAATTATGACTTTCAGGCTTACTTCCAACAACATAGAATTATCCATGAGATGACTTGTCCTCAGACACTACAACAATGGTGTTGCTTAACGAAAGAATCAACATCTTCTTGAAACAACTTGAGCACTTCTAATTGGAGCTCATGATCCTCGTCATCATTGGGATGATGCTATTGTCACTGCAGTTCACCTGATCAACTGCATGCCTTCTTGTGTATTGAACTTTAAAACTCCCTTACAAGTGCTTGCGAAACACGGGCCCCTTGCCCTCTATTTTGATACTCACACCCTGAATTTTTGGATGTGTGGCATTCGTTCATCAACGTTGTATTTTTGTGGGTTATGTTATTTATCAAAAATGCTATCGTTGTTATCACCCTCCCAGTACCTATGTCACTTTGGATGTGACCTTTTTTGGAATATGAGATGTTCTTCCATAACCCAAGATCCAAATCTACGCTTCATGGGGAGATACGAAGTGAAGAGAAAAATTGGAGCAACTTGGAAAGCGAAGAAATTTGCCTCTGTACAGAAGCGATCGATCATCCTGCCTCTGATGATCAATCGCCTCGAGGTCTGGAGCCCGAAATTGCTCTTGACCAAGAAGCGATCGATCATCCAAAGCTAGCGATCGATCGTCCTGAGTTTGGAGTACGAGAGTTCTCTCTGCCGAAAATCAATCAATTGTCCATTCATAGCGATCAATCGACCTCGAAGTTGACGATATGGCTACTTGTGAGCACTCACGTTAATCTTGAGAACCATGAATGACCAAAAAAAAAAAAAAAACAGGACAATCTAATAGTTTCGTTAACCTGAGAGACATTTTGCGATAAAAAAGCCAAATTAATATGGTATTTACCTAACATTAAAGTGTAAATCTATCTTGATAAAGTCCTAATAATAAAAAGAAATTTATTTTGTTCCCTCTTGTCTTGTGTTTTGTTGACTATATACTAATAATACAACAAACACCTGTGGGCCTCATATAAATGTTTACTCCATAGCTTAAACTGATCACTTCAGAATAAGAAAAGTACTGCAACAAAACAATATCAAATGCACATCCACATACGTCTACCAACAATATTTGCATAAACGCAAGCATGTTAACTCCATTTAATAAACAAAAGTACCATTTTCCAAACTCAATGTCAAGCGAACATTCAATTAAAATACAAAAATAAGATCCATGTTTGCCATATCACTACTACCAAATGCAAACTTAGATAACTAAATTCCAGATTCTCAAAAACAACACAAAGCTTCCATTGCCTCAGAACCTCCTTCCACCCTGTGGACCCCGTCCATAACCTTGGCTAGGGATCATAACCTGTGGCTCAGCTTCAGATACCCCAGGAAGATCAGCCATGCCAAGAGCAGCAAGCATGTCAAGGGTCTCCTTATCGACCTTGATTTCTTCAGTCCTGATAGCAGATTGTTCAGGTACATAGTCCATGCGACGCTCACGCTCTTCTTCCTGCAGTTTCAGTGAGATACCCCTGACTGGACCCTTTTGAATCCTCTTCATCAGGTGAGTGGAGAACCCAGCAATTTTGTTCCGGAGACGTTTTGAGGGGATGATTGCAACCTCTTCCAAGATCTTCTTGTTTGTGTGGAAGTCCAAGGTCATCTTTGAGTAGTACCTCTCGATCACCTGGCGTGAGGACTTCTTCACAGTCTTGGTACGAACACGACCCATTTTGCAGAACTAGCTCTTCCTGCAATGATAAGAAAATAAGAAAAAACTACTCTCATCCATTTCATGCTCAGAGAATATGATATTGATGTAACCCATAGAACCAAGCTTTTTAACTAAGATGCTAATAAACAAAATAAAACAGAGAAACTAAAAAAATACAAGCAGAACAAAAAGGGACTTGTAGATTTAACTAAATCTTAAACAAAGCCAAACCAAACCTAATAAAAACTAAGCAGCATAGCAGGTTAGAGTATCTGCCAAACTGAAAAAATCACAATAGCAGATAAGAAAACCCCACTATCAACGACCATAAACAACATATAACACTTCAGATCCAAAACTCGATTTCAACACCCTAAACCTAATTCCTCGAACCCAAAATTATTTTACTCTCATGATTAAAATAAAGCAACATTACCACACATAATTCATACATAAGCAATAATACTACATAAAACCCCATGAACATGTTCAACTATCTTACCCACATACACACACAAATCACAATCAATTCCCTTTGACAGTGTCATTTTGGGCCATAATCAAACAGAGTTAACTAATTCGAATCACCCGTGGACTAAAACACGAATACAAATCAGGCACTAAATATTCCAAATCGTTTTACGTTTTAGAGTAGCTGCAATGGAAGAGAACCATGAGATGAAAAACAAACCCTAAAACATTACTTACAGTGCCGAACAGCGAAGGTTAAGAATGAGGAAGTAGAGAGGAGGCGCAGGGAGCAAATAGAGTGCGGCAGCTGAAGAGATGGGAAAGTGCGTACTAGGGTTTCTCTTTTATTAGGCGCGTTACTTTTTGTTTATGGGTCGAGCGGGCTGCACCCGACCCGATTCCCTCTATTACATTAAAATTTGAGTTTTTTTGCGGTTTTGCCTCATGAATTATTTCATTATTGTCAATTTAGCCCTACCAATTTTTTCAATAAATTAAGGACCCAAACGTTGTAAAAATAGCCCATGGGCCTACCGTCAATTTTTTCAAATTTCATCCAAATTTCCGTCCAAATTAAATGTAAATTCATAATTTTAAGAAATTAATATATATATATAACCCCACCTATGCAGCCCTACCTTTGATCCAGCTTCCCTGTACCCTCTATCTCTCTTGCCCCTCCCAAACAGCCCACCCACCTCCACCACACTTCACCCACCAACACTGGCGGACCAAGGAATTTTTTAGCATATGTGCAATTTTGAAAGACTAAAAACTCTTTGTAGATTGAACATCTAAGGCTTTTTATCTAGATTGACCTTAGGTCCCTTCATGCATTTATATCATACATGAAAAATTATTTTATGTAAAAATATTGACTAAGTATGAAAAATGGTTTTTCGAAATAATCATTTTCTCAAGAAAATTTTTGGTGACTTTTATTCCTCACACATCAAATAAGAAAACTTGATTTTATGGGATTTTATTATGAAGTATATATTGACTTAATGAGCCATCATTTTTAGCCTAAATCGTATTTTGCACAAAAACCGATTTTTCATATTTTGATTTGGTGGGAATTTGATTTTCTAGTATTTTTATTTAAATCCAAATGCGGGGTACTTCTTTATTTACATTATAAACTTAAGTAAATGGACTAATATAAAAATAAATGAAAGTAAAAGGACAAAGACATTTACTTGAAAATGGAAATAAAGTAATTTGTGCACCACCACCCGCTAAACAAATGGGCAATTTGAAGCACCTGCAATGGTTTTTCTGACGAGGGCACCTCCTTGCGCCTTAATAGGTCCGCTACTGACCACCAACATCCACCCTTTTAGCCGTTTCTTCCCATTTTAAATTTTTTTAATTATTCCTTTGACCTTCTCAATAATTCTTCCGTCTTAGGGATTTGGGGTATCAAGAGAGGCTAGACAAAGGCTTAATTAATACCCAATGGCAAGAAGAGTGGCCAAATTCTTCCATTACTCATCTGCCTGTCATGGGTTCTGACCATTGTCCCATCCTTGTGGAGACAGAATCTCGAATAAGAAGAGGTTGTAAGCCTTTTAAGTTTGAGGCTTCTTGGACTTCTGATCCAGAGTGTAGAGAAGTGATTGACAGAAGCTGGCGAAGGGAATTTCATGGAAATAGAATGCATGTGTGGGGAAGGAAAATTAGGGGGTGTCGTGTGGATTTGCGAAAGTGGAGTGATGGGAAATTCTTAAATAATCGTAAAATTGCAAATTCCTTGTTCACGGAGCTTGATCAACTTCAACTGAACTGGGATGCAAACTATGGGAAAATTGGGCAAGTAGGGAATAAGCTCAATGATGTTTGGAGGTGTGAGGAGTTGTATTGGAAGAAGATGGCGAAAACCAAGTGGCTTAAAGAAGGAGATGCAAATACTGCCTTTTTCCACAATAGTACGGTTTAGAAAAGGAGGAGAAATCGAATTGCCCGGATAAAAAACCAAGATGGTGACTGGGAGAGTAACGATGCTCGGGTTCATAACACCATTGAGGCATACTTCCAGAATTTGTTTACTTCTGAAGGCCAGAGAGACTGGGGTGATATCTTATCTTTTGTCTCTCCAATAATCACTGAGGATATTAATTCAAGCTTGATGGCCCTAATAAATGATGAGGAGATTAGACATGTTGTTTTTCAAATGGGGGCCCTAAAATCCCAGGGCCTGACGGTTTCTCTGGTATCTTTTCTCAAAAGTATTGGAGCATTATTGGTGAGGATATGTGTGGGTTGGTTAAAAGATTTTTCTCCGAGAACAAAAATATTTTTGCTATGAATGTAACAGAGATTGCTCTTGTTCCAAAGGTGATGAGCCCAGATTGGTCACTCAATTCCGCCCTATTGCATTGTGCAACTATTCTTACAAGGTAATCTCGAAGATTCTCACTAATCGCCTTCAACCCTACTTAAATGCAATCATCTCTCCCCAACAATGTGCGTTTATTTCTGGAAGGCAGATTCAAGATAATATTTTTATTGCACATGAGGCCTTCCACTCTTTGAAGATTAGAAGAGATACTAGCATTTTTGAAATGGGGCTGAAGCTGGATATGAACAAAGCTTACGATAGAATTGAGTGGGATTTCCTCCAAGCAGTGTTATTGAAAATGGGTTTTGTAGAGGCTTGGGTGCAAAAGGTGATGAACTGTGTCTCTTTAGTGGAATTCTCTGTGATAATCAATGGAAAGGTAGGGGGTGGTTTCAAGCCATCGAGGGGAATTCGCCAGGGGGACCCTATATCTCCATATTTATTCATAATTGTCAATGATGTCTTATCTTCTATGCTTAACCATGCAGCAATGAGGGGCTTCCTTCAAGGACTAAGTTTTGGCAGGAGGGGCCCAACTCTAACTCACCTATTTTTTGCAAATGACTCCCTCATATTTCTCAAAGCTACAAGTCAAAATTGCAAAGTGGTGAGCCAAATTCTTAAGTCTTACTGCAAGGCCTCGGGTCAAGCTGTCAATTTGGAAAAATCAAACCTGTTTTTCAGTCCTAACACTTTGGCGGAAGTGAAGGAAGAGATGAAAGCTGCTCTTAACGTAAATATCACGGATGATCCTGGAAAATACCTTGGCCTTCCAACAATATACGGGAGATCAAAAAAGGAGGCGTTGGCTTTTGTAAAGGAGAAAATCTTGCATAAGGTGCAGGGATGGAAGCAAAGCTTACTCACGTAAGCGGGTTGAGAAGTGTTGATAAAGTCTGTGGCTCAGGCTGTTCCCTCATATCCCATGTCAGTGTTCTCTTTTCCCATCGGCTTCTGCAAGGAGATTGATAGCATTCTTGCCAATTTTTGGTGGGGACATAACTAGGAAGCAAATAAAATTCATTGGATTAGCTGGAAGGAATTGGGGCTGCCAAAGAAGGAAGGAGGGATGGGTTTGAGGAACCTAAGAGACTTTAATACTACCTTATTAGCCAAGCAATGCTGGAGATTGATGATGAAGCCAGATGCTTTTTGGGCTCAATTAATTAAGAGTCGATAATTTCCGAATAATGACTTTCTAGAAGCAAAAAAAGGGGCTAGGTCCGCATAGGTTTGGTCGAGCTTGCTGGCAGGCAGGGACGTCATTCTCAACGGTGCGCGGTGGCAAGTTTTGGATGGAAGTCGGATTAAATTGTGGACTGACAGGTGGATTCCTTGCTCCCCTTATCGCCTTTTAATGCCAAAACCAGGTGTGGAGGTAAATGAGGAGGAAAAGGTTGAAACTATTATAAACCCTTCAACCTGTGTCTGGAACGTGAATGCTATTGATAGACAAGTCAATGTCAGGGATGCTTGTTTGATTAAAGCTCTTCCTTTAGGTGACGAGACTGAGGCTAACAGAATGGTGTGGCCTTTCAATAGAGATGGAAGATTTACTGTAAAATCTGGGTATAATTTAATCATCAATGCTTCTCTTAGTTCTAACACCAGTAGGCCTTCTGGCTCTTGGACAATAGATAAGATTATGTGGAAGTCAATATGGAATTCGAAGCTAGTGCCAAAATTAAAAAATTTCTTGTGGAGAATTTGCAAGGGTTGTTTATTGACTTGTCAGGCTCTGCATAGGAGACACCTTGGTCCCTCGCCTCTTTGCCCTCTATGTGGAGAGCTTCCTGAATATGAAGAGCATCTCTTTCTATTATGCAACTGGGTTCAAGGAGTTTGGTTTGGAGGCCCTTTATGTTATAAAATAAATAGACAAAGTATTACAACAATTGGTGAGTGGCTAAAGAGGACTTTGCAGCTCCCTCAAAGCTCTGCTCATGATCGATCTTGGCTCATGGCTCAAATTGCATACACTTGTTAGAGTATTTGGAAAAGTCGATGTGCTGCTGTCTTTGAGGGTGTTCAGGTGTGCCCGCAGAAGACTTTGTGTGCTGCCCAGTCTGTGGTCAGCAAATTCATGCAAGTGCAAACTGAGTCTGTGATGAATATGAATGATAATGTTGTTGAGGTTGGGGTGGCAGAGGCAAGATGGTCAACCCCTCCCCATGCATATTGTAAAGTAAATGTTGATGCTTCATGGGAGGGAGTTTCGAAGCTAGCAGGTTTGGGTGTGGTGGTTCGGGACTCGAATGCTGTGTGTTTGGGCGGCAACTGTAAAACTAGACTAGTAGCGTCGGCTATTGAGGCGGAGGCGCATGTAGCATTGAGTGGAGTACATTTAGTTGCTCAAATGGGAATATCACATGTGATTTTTGAATCTGATTCAAAGGAGTTGGTCCAGTCTGTCAAAGGCCATATTCAGAGGAGTAGATGGACTATTTTCCCCATTCTAACGGCAATTCGAAGAGCCTGTAGTGGTTTCAATTCGTACTCTTGGAATTGGGTGCACCGTGGTGCAAATAAAGCAGCAGATGCTGCAGCTTCTCGAGCTAGAAGGATGATGTGTGATGAGGTTTGGGAATCCAGCCTCCCATCCTCTTTGGTCTTTGTGTTGCAAGCTGATGGGCTCCCATGTCCCCCTACGATGTGAGTCCTGGCTATTAGAGGCGGACACGCTCCCTATTGGGAGGTGACATAGGTTTGGCCTCTAACAAAATTTGCTTTTGTTTTGCTGTAGATTGTTTTTCATCTATTTCTATTGTGGCTGCTTTAGTTTCGCCGTAGCTTGTTTTTCTCCTTTCTTTTTGCTGGATGTTGGTAACTGTGTTGTTCTTTGATTGTGGTTGTGGGTAGCCTAGCCCTTTGTTTGTACTTCTCTTTCGTTTGGAATGAAAGTACTCTTGACCCAAAAAAAAAAAAAGATTCTCGCTTCCCTTTCTCTCTCTCTTCTTCATATTCTTATCATGAGTACCACAACATCCTCTTTCCGTCTTAAAATTCCAAGGC